AAAAAAAATTCAGGAACTATAGTGCCTTTAAAGTGCTTTCAGGACATATAATTATTTGCAAAATTGAGGAAGAAATGATGGAGAAAAATGGAAAATACTTTTGGAGACCCGAGAAATAATGAGAACTGAATTGATGGGAAAGTCTGAAAATTGAATAGGAAAGTGAGGGGAAGCCTTGTAAGCATTGTTATTTTCTGCTGTTCTGATTTTTCCTGATTGTTCTTGGTCTCACTCCCAGCTGCTCCTGGACCCTCCCAGGAGCTTTCAGGAGCTTCCTGGAGTATTGAGGAGCAGCTGGGAATGAGACCAAGAAGAATCGGGAAAAATCAGAACAGCAGAAAATAACAATGCTTACAAGGCTTCCCCTCACTTTCCTATTCAATTTTCAGACTTTCCCATCAATTCAGTTCTCATTATTTCTCGGGTCTCCAAAAGTATTTTCCATTTTTCTCCATCATTTCTTCCTCGATTTTGCAAATAATTATATATCCTGAAAGCACTTCAAAGGCACTACAGTTCCTGAATTTTTTTGATTTTTTCCCTAATTATTTTTTTCAACTTTTTAGAAGTCCCTATTTTTCAAATTTTCCTCATTTCCCTCTATATCCCCCTCATTCCCCCCCTCATTCCCCCCCTCATTCCCCCCCTCATTCCCCCCTCATTCCCCCCTCATTCTCCCCCTCATTTCCCCCTCATTTCCCCCCCTCATTCTCCCCCATTTCCCCCTCCCCCATATTCTGCCAGCCCGAAAGTGATTAAGTTGCCAGATTAATCATATATCAGGCCATAAATTTTGATTGTGTATTGGTGAGTCTCAGTGTCCTTGATATATAGTATAGTGTTTGATCTAAATGTTAAGCAGTGTCTTGTTGTGTTAGTCTTGTGGTAGGAGGTATTCATGGGGGATCTTCCCTCTTTTTTTACCTTTTCATTTTCAAATGCTCCAGGAGCTCCCAGAAGCTTCTCACCCCTATACACTTTGAAGCATTTAAATTGTATTTACTGGATATGTTTGTGCACAAAGCAATGCTCCAGGCCCTCCTGGGAGTGCCCTGGAGTACCTAGCCAACTCCGGAGGAAATGGGCTGTTCCTGGACCAGCCAATCTCCTCCTGATTCTCCCAGTGCTCTCGATACTCCGGAGCACTCAGGAGCATAACAATTTTTTGCTGATGAGAGACAGAGCGGCCGGAAACATTACCCTCATACAATCAGCCCTCGAGAGCATAGGGAACAGTATCCCAACGCAAGATAGAATCTGGAAAATTCTGAACAGTAACCGAAGGGACACATCCCCCGAAATTAGAAACTTCATATGGAAACTCACCCACAAGTGCCTCAAGATAGGTGACTACTGGAAGAGAATCCCAAAATACGAATACCGTGGCGTATGCGAACCCTGCCAACAAACGGAATCAATAGACCACATTCTTTTCGATTGCCCACTGAACCACGGCAAAAGACTATGGGCTATCACCAAAGCGACATGCGACCGCAGGAAAATCGCTTGGCCAACCAACCTCGACGTCTCACATGTGATGGCAGCCCTGATCACCAGAATAAACACCATGACCGGACGATCGAAGAAAGGCGAGACCAGGCTATTCAGAATTGTAGTTCTTGAGTGTGCATGGCAAGTCTGGAAAGCCAGATGCCGTAGAGTAATGAACCCCGATCAATCACCCACCACACTAAAAGAAGTAACCAACGCTTTCAAAGCCGGCCTCAACGAAAAGCTCCAGCAAGATATTGCTTCGACATGCCATAAGAGATTCGGCCGCAAGGCGCTACCAGCGAAACTCGTGTTACACACTTGGAGTGGCAACTTACAACAAGAAGAAAGGTATCCGGACAACTGGCTATACAGCAGTGGGGTTTTAGTGGGTATACCGGACCCCCCGTGATGGGGCCGGGAGTCCCACACACGTGCGTAACGCATTTCCTCACAAGTGGCAGACCGGACCAAACCGATCCTCAACCTAACGGGATTATCCATTTCCCAATACAAGCCCCAAATACAGTAATGTATCGCGAAAGCTACTGGGGCTCCACTAAAAAAAAAAAAAAAAAAGACTGAGCTATTGAATTGAGCCTTCTCCACACTGAACAGCCACGAGCGGGTGTTGCCTTCGACATCCACATGGTGGCATGAGTGTCTTTCAAGTGCCCTGCTGCCCTTGCGTTTACCCCTTCTTCGTTCAGCTGCTCTCCAATTGCAAGCAGGTCTGCACTAGCTTGGTGAACAACTCAATTGCTGCAATTCGAACCAAACTTTCCATCAGGTCAGTGCGGTAGACACTGTTACGTGCACGCATTTTGGGCCTCTCCGACGCTCAGCTTCATATTCAAATACGTCCCCGTATGACAGCTTGCCAAGCACGCCCAGGGCGTGGTGTCAGCTGTCCTAATTCCATAAGCTTTGGACACTACCAAATAAAGACGTCCAGACCAGTGTCTACAGGCGATGTCAATTCTTAGCCCGCTATGTCTCCATCATCCGCTTTGCGATATAGCCCATAGGTGATCTTAGAATTCGTGATGATCGAGCGACTTACAAGTCAGCGCTTGTGTCTCACGTTGCTCAGGTTGCCCTCGCGCCTTCTGTGAGTTTACTTAATCAGTCAATATGGTGCTGGTTGCATCGCCGAGGTCAGAAACCATGCTGCAGCACAAGGAGTCGGAGCGATAAGCTAGATGAGTCCCCCTATTCATTTCGGCACCGGACACGCTGTCCAAACATAACACCTCGAATTTATTGCCAATGTAACTCTGCGGGAAAATGCTAAGCATGCTTCCAACTTCACCGTATATGGTGAACTACTACCATTGCGGCTGGGGTTCGGAACGCAAACAATTCGAAAGCCGCGAAATGCGGTTGCGCTGTCATATGGGGAATCAAATAATTACTTGTTGGGCTATTGTGGGAGGGTTTGGTATAACCATCAACGTCAACAACTCGACCAATCGGATTCGCATACTGTGCAGGTCTTCGGAGTTGATGTCATTCATTTGAACGAAGCACCCCGTAAAGTACTCTAGAGCCGCTAATTTTCGGATGTTCAAATTGTGGGCGTTTAATCACATTTTCTCGATGGACCTCAACACTTGAAGGACAGACAAGGGTGTTCACTTTCACATCTACGATATCGCGTAGTACGAACAATCTCCTAACCAGCACTTGACAAGCTGCGCAGTGAATAACTCAATTGTTGCGATCATTATGGAGTGGACTGATTCACTTGGCTGTGGCACTATGGAGTCTGGACGCGCTGTACTCATGCGCCAGTCACCGCTGGGTAATTATCGATCAATGAATATAATTGGCCCCTACAGTACTTCGACTACTTGTCATCCCCTATGCATGATGTGTGTCCCTCTGTACGGGCGCATTCGCAGTCAGCTTGCAAAGTGGCCGGGGCGCATGGATAACGTGCTGGGAACGATCGACAACTTGACTAGCTGCATGGAATCGAATAACGCATCCCAATAACACGGCCCCTGCGTAGCGTGCCGCGTGCGGGATAGACTGGAATCAAGTCGATATGCCGAAGGAAATGAGACGAAGCCTCCATTGACGATCCTGGTGTCTTTCGCAAGGTACCCGGGTGAGTGGCAGGCCTGGATGTTTTCATCATCGGTTGTTTTCGTTAACCCAGTCCGACCTATTCAGTAGCGTGAAACTCACAGGTGTGCGAGCAATCACCGATCCCATCATGAGTCCCAAAGGAAACACTGCTGAACCCGATGCACATAAGTGCGTGACAGGGTGTGCTCATCAAGGTATGCAGCGCCCGGAGGATTATTATCTATCATCGGATGTCCAGATTCCGTTCGCTGACAACCGTGGACTCTCGATCGCCCACGTCTCACGCGATTTGTGGAGTATACACATGCATTCCAGCGTACGCTTGGCTTCGTTGACCTACTAGTTAAGATACTAGGGTGCCGGAATCGCACACGTGGATCCCATCTGTCACCAGTACTCGAGTTATTCAAACACGTCGGTCCTTTTCTTTGGCACCAATTTTTCTTTTCTCTACACTCAGATGACATGGCAGAATTCTTCGTTTGGCTCCCTCGCACCCCAACTGGCAAGTATTAGTCAACAGTCCACCAGATACGTTTGTACTACCGTGTCCACCGCCTGAGTGGACGCCAACAAGTCGGACCCACCGGTAGTGTTCTCTATTAGGTTTCTATCGGTTCGGGCATTCAGTTTACGGTGGTGGGCCGGTTTTCACGGTACTCGAACGATCTCTGAGCAATTACCCGTGTTCCATGTTAACCTTGTTCTTAATAATGGTGGTTCGCCATTCTTATTCTGTCCTTTCTAACTTATGTAAGTGATCCTATAATGTCTGCCGAGTTGGGTGCGATGGGCTTAGCGCTCGCGAACCGACTACCTCTATCATTTACCATTAATAGGAGCGTACACTGCTCTATCAATAGCGCGTGGTGGCATCTGACCGATATGGCAGGAGAATGATAGTTATTCTTGAGCATAGATAGCATTAGCAAATCGTACCCCTGTAGCTTTTTGCATGTTAAGCACAGCGTGTTATTTACCCGAGAATGCGCGCGCTCACGCGTACGATTTCATTCTCATTACCTTTTTAGTTTTGCTCTATTTGAGGGCAATCTCAACACCCCATTCATCTACCTGCGGGAGTACTGATGGCCTTTCTTCGTTCTGGCCTTTTGAACTCATTGATCGCATGTATCCATCAGGTGATCAATAAAGTTGGTTCGGATTGGAACCCTCAACCAGACACCGCGCTTCGATCACCTGCTTGGCAGTATGCGAGAGTGGGCTGAATTTGAAATCCTTATGAGCGTTTGTTCGGGCACTAGCAGCCGTGTGTTCAATAATCATTACACTGCCTTGTCCCACTGCGGTATAAAGCTCACAAGCTGGGTGTTCAAATCTTCATTGTGCCTGCATGATCTCCGTCACGATGGCAGCCGCTCTCGTCAGCTTTATCCTCACGCAAAGCATCCATGCCGCACCGATCTCTCAACATCCCCCACCCAACAGTACAGCTTTCTCCATAAATTACTCGGATGCGTGTAACGATCTGCGCCACTGTCGGACTATGTGGAGCATAGTATACAGCTGCCTCCTTACGATATTCGCTTGTGTTTGGACAGCAATTCATCCAGATATGCCTAAGCAATATTCGGCTTGGTCGTTTGGGATAGGTTCTCGTATCTTTGAAATGAGTTTGACATTGGTTTCGCCGGAGCTGGCTGTTTGGGCTGCATGGACTGAGTTCTCCGAGGCACGGAGAATATCGCTGGAATTCAAGGTGGGGCGCTGAATTCAATTCAGTTGAAGCCCCTGACATCGATCCTTCACAAGGATGGACATTCACCCATTCATATTTTGTTGTTATGAGTGGCTTCTTCGACTCTTCCAAACAAAATGCAGTGAAGCCAGATGAAAATGAAGATCCCCCTACCCTGTTTGAGAAATACCCCGGCATAATCGACAAGTCGGGAGGTCAGAGAAAGGTCGCAGTAACAAGGGAGGGGGTCCTCGACAAAAGCAAAGGCAACTTTTTTGCAAAGTCCATTGTCGTCCTCCAGCTACTGTGGTTCGCCACTCAGTATGTTGGACGGTGGGCAAGTCATCTACCCAGGTCACAACTGGAAGCGATGACTCTTGCTTATGCGGCACTTAGCATCCTTGTTTATGCTTTGTGGTGGCACAAACCGCTGGATGTCCATTTCCCAATCTGTGTGACAGAAGAGGCCCACCCCGATTCCCCAAATCCCGATGCTATCACCGATCAAGCACTGCCCAAAATGGAGAACACGTCCAATCCAGCGTCCCCTCCAGCAGATACCATTGAGCCAAGTTCCTTGTGGATACTCGTAGTCACTGGTATCATTTTTGGTGGGGTTCATTGCCTCGCATGGTCATTTCCATTTCCGACGCGTGCAGAGACACTTTTGTGGCGTATTTCTGCAATAATCATCACTGTGGGTCCTGGCCCTTTCGCATGGGGCATGGCAAGATGGGAAAAGAAGGATTACTTCAGCGGGAGATTGTTTGGAGGTTCCACCATGCTGTTTTATCCTGTTGCTCGGGTTATCCTGTTCACTCTCACATTTACGTCTTTGCGATCTCCACCCCGCGATCTTTACCGAACTACATCCTGGACGTCCTTCATTCCCCACTTAGGATAACATAATCGTAGACACATAGTATCATTGCTCTGCGTAACGAGAAATAATAAGACTCCAGTATTGGGACATAAATGCACCAGATGCGCTCAGCACAACTATCCGGCACCATCACCACAAACGCACCGATCAAATGAGACTTCTTGCCATACTATGTCTGTTTGTCCTTGCCTTCTAACTAACCACCTATCGACTCCAACGTCCTTCACCGTCAGCATGAAAGGCCACTCCTAAGGTCAACCCAGATAGTCTGGATGCAATGAAACTGTAGGAAGCACCGGATCTAATGTGCAACGGCTGAGTGAATATTGGTTGGCCAGCTCGGTAGTGCGAGCTCTTCATCGTTATCATATTGTAGCTCAAAGTTCGGATGGTAGATTGAGAGGCTGAGCTGGACTTCAAAGCCTCGATGAAGGCGGTGTGAAAGTAGACTCGTAAGAATACGACTCATAGCTTCAGACGAAACCAGGATCGGAAAGGCTGAACGTTGTGACAAGCTATCATCCCTGGGCAAAGGCTCGAGACAAGGAAGAGTCAGTCGTCGCAAGGCCCCCATTCCAAGTCCAGTGCATCTCGTCCGAAATCCGAAATATGGACACAGCAGCGTGCGCGATGTGAATCGGTGTAGATAATTTCTGGCCTGACGAAATTTGACGAGCTTCTGTAAATCTTTGGTTGCACTGAAATCAGCTTCGATATTGAGCAATGCTACTTACCATATGCCATCCAACTTCTCCACGCTGTCGAATGAACGAACTAGTCTTGGGCCTTGTAAGTCGCAGGCTCCACTCCGCTGATAGCCCCGTCCACCCTAGATGGATGGGACGACAAGAGAAGGGATCAATTAGGATTCATCCACTGAATTGGCATTGGGGGGTGTCCCCTCCGTAACGCTTGCATCGGAGTACATATGCCAACAGTCTGCGTTGGAGAAATTATGTCAGTTTAATGGGCATGTAAAAAGCAGGACGATAATTATAAATTGGATGGAGTGCTGTGAAAATAAATATAGGAGGATGGTGTGGACGCGGCATGAAATGTAGCATTCTCTGTGTACTAGGTATGGTGGAGCAAGCAATGGGGGATGAATTTTGGCGTACATATGCAGCGATTTTCGCTCCGACAACATTTCGCTTGTAAAATGGACTAAGAGATCGTCGAGACCACACCAACAACGCGGAGGCGGTCATCTGTTGTAGCAGATAGAGTGGTTCAAAGTTGAAAATCTGAGTCGAGCAAAGTAAGATTTATTGAAACTCACCCGCTCAAAACACCCGTCGCCGAAAGGCCGCCACTGGCACTTGGCACTTTGCTGTCGCCCCTCGGCTGTCCGGCGTCGTTACCTTTGTTCCTTCCTCCTACCTTTACTCCCTTCTCAGGCTGCTTGTCGGCCTTCGAGGCGTTGTGTTTTCTTCCCTATAAATAACGGCTGTTGGATACTGCGGTGCGTAGCGATTAGAGCACATACTGCAGTAGAAGAACACTGGAGTTGTTGTTGTTGTTTGTTGTTTATTCTGGATATTTAACCTGCAAACTGTAGGCTGCTCGTGAGAGCGCCAAGGGCAGGGGTCGAGATAAATACACAAAAATAAGGTGAGAAAATAAAGAAATAAGTCCGATTCGGGTGTCCTTAATCTCTCTGATAAGGCGTTGCCCAAATGCTGCTCCACTTTTGAGTTGTCGTGTTGGGTTGACCGTTTTTAGGTGTCGGTTTCGAAAATGGGATGGGTTCCGCCTTCCAGCGGTGTCATATCTCGGGGTGTGTCTATTCTGTCCTTCTCTCTTTCTCGTATGCTCCACTCGCTGACAGAAATCCCGCTACCCTCTCTATTCCTTTCTCGTCCACCAGGAGGTCGGCAAGGATCAGTTCACCTTCATCGTCTGGGAGCAAGTTTCGGTGGTGTTCGTGCTTGGGACATTCGAGAAGTATGTGTTCTCTCGTTTCTACGGGTTCTCCGCATGTGCAACTGGGGTTCTCTTCTGGTAGGAAGCGTTTGTAGAATTGTCCGATGAACGCATGGCCGGTGCGAAGCTGTACTAGGCGGCTGAGGGATTTGCGGGAGTGGGACTTGAACCGCTTTGTTGGTCGCAGTTGCGGTTCTATGCGGTTACAGCTTCGGTATTCTGATGGCTTTTGTTGTATAGGGTCAGTGTTCCAGCGAGAGATCCATTCGTCCTTATATTGGCGTTTGTTTAGGTTTCTCATGAATGCCGCTGAGGTACTGTACGGGTATTCGGACGGCAGGTTGGAGCCTTCTTTGGCTAGGGTGTCTGCCCGTTCGTTCCCTTTGATATCTTCGTGTCCTGGGACCCACTTTATAATTACGTCGCAGAGGGGGCGTTCTGAAAGAAGGAGGGAGATGGTGTTGCGGAATCGGAGTGATTGTTGGATGTCCAGTCCTGGGGACGTGGCCATTATGCGCTGGAGTGCTCCAGTGTTATCGGAGAAGATTGAGAGGGTGAGTTTGTCTCCTTTTTGGTAGTGCTCGTCGAGCCAGATCTTGAGGTTAGCTGATCCTTGCGCTAGTCCCTCCATTTCCGCATCATACACCTCTGCTCTAGGTCCTGTTCCCCCCTTCCCTTCGAATATGACACGCGCCTTTTGGTAGGCTGCAAACCCGTATCCCGTTTTTCGGATGCCCTGGTCGTGCGCAAGTGAGCCATCGGTGTATAGTAGGATGTGGGACTCATCGCGTTTCCATTTTTTTAATCCGTTCTTGTAAGAACACTGGAGTCCTACATAACACTGAGCTATTGAATTGAGCCTTCTTCACACCGAACAGCCACGAGTGGGTATTTTGGATAATGGAGGCGACAGAACTCTCTACTTCCCGATCTGGAGTCCTCAAGGTGGTGGTGGCATGAGTGTCTTTCAAGTGTCCTACTGCCCTTGCATCGACCCCTTTTCCTCTCCAATTGCAAGAAGAAGCGGGCCTATACTACTTGGTGAACAACTCAATTGCTGCAATTCAAACCAAACCATTAGACACTGCTACATGCACGCATTTTGGGCCTTTCCGACGCTCAGCTTCATTTTCAAATACGTCCCCGTAATAGGGTCTGGACACTACCAAATAAACTCTAGACCAGTGTCTAGGAAGCGATGTCGATTCTTACTCCGCTGTGATTCGCTTTGCGATACAGCGGCGCGTAGGTGATCTTAGGATTCGTGATGATTGAAGCGATTCACGAGTCAGTGCTTGTGTCTCACGTTGCTCAAGTTGCCCTCGCGCTTTCTGTGAGTTTACTTGCTGTGGAAAAAGACATTTTATGATTACTCCTTTCCCACCAAGATGAGCAATCTTGTGAACGCTGCTGAAATGCTTGATCTTAATCAGTCAATAACATTTGATCCGGTCAATAGCTTGATTAGCATGGCTTGCTATGTATCTTGATGTCCCTCCCGTCGTTACACCGTAGTGTACGTGATAGTATCGTCGGCACTTTGTGTGACGTAGGATGATGCTGGTTGCGTCGTGTAAGCGGTGTGCTTACATAAGTAGTCTGATGGATATATATACCCGTCCAAGTTTTGTTAGTTAGACAGAACCTCTTGTATTTACCCCCGTAAATCAAGCCCTTTTGGACCTGTGACTCTCTTAGTGACCTAGTGAGTTCGTTAATCCTTAAGGACTTAGTCATCGGCGACAGCCGATCTTGAGGTTCCTCACACGTCGCCGAGGTCAGAAACTATGCTGGAGCACAAGATAAGGTGGATGAGTCCCATTATTCATTTCGGCGACACGCGCACTGGACACGCTGTCCGAACATAGCACCCAGGCTCGAATGTATTGCCAATGTAACTCTGCGGGAAAATGCTAAGCACGCTTCCAACTGGTGAGCTACTATATACTACCATTGCGGCCGGGGTTCGGAACGCCACAACAATTTGCTCTGACAAGTTGACCCGTATTTTAATTTGATTACCCGGAATGATTCATACTTGCCTTCTTGCGGCTGGTTGACACTCGCCAAGACATTGATTTACTTCCCCGGAGTTTTGGTGCTAGCCGACTGAATTCACTGGCCCTCATATGTACGACAACCCTTGAATTATTGATTTGCTCGTTGAGCTTTTGTGGGAGGGTTTGACATAACCGTCAAACTCGGCTCTTCAGGGGTTGATGTCATTCGTTTGAACGAAGCACCAAGTAAAGTACTCTCTCACATGCTCAAGTCGCTAATTAGCATTCACTTACATTTTCTCGGTGAACCTCAACACTTGAAGGACAGACAAATATCGCGTAATACGAACAATCTCCTACCCAGAGCTTTGACAAGCTGCGCAGTGAATACTTAACTCACCTGCTGCGGTCATTATGGAGTGCACTGATTCACTTGGCTGTGGCACTATGGACGTGCTGTACTGTACTCATGCGCCAGTCATCTTGTGGTACGTTGCTGGAACAAGAGAAGTTTGATAGGTAAGTGATGTGTATTCCGGACAAATAATGCATCCATAACACAGCCCCTGCATAGTGTGCTGCATGCGGGCCAGTCTGGAATCCAGTCGATACGCCGAAGGAAATGGAACGAAACCTGCATTGGCGATCCTGGCGTCTTGCCTGAGGTATCTGGGTGAGTGGCAGCCTGGCAGGCCTAGGTGTTTTCTCCGCTGACATCGGATGTCCAGATTCTGCCCGCTAACAATCGTCGATGATTCTCGATCGCCTATGTCTCTCGACATTTGTGGAGTATACACACGCATTCCGGTGCGTGATCTTGCCAATTCGTTCACCTACCAGTTAAGATGGGGTGCCAGAATCGCACATGTGGATCCCGTCCGGCACCAGTACTCGAGTTATTTCGAACCCCTATGTCCTTTCCTTTAGCACCAATTTACGATTCTTTTCTCCACACTCAGATGACATAGACAGAATTTTTTCGCTTGGCTCCTGCTGGCACGCGCCCCAACTTGGTGAGTATTAGTCAACAGTCCACCAGATAATATCTGTACTACTGTGTCCACCGCCTCGATACCATATGCTGAGTGAGACACCAACAAGTCGGACCCACCGGTAGCAGTCTTCCATCCGGGGAGTGGTCTCTCTTAGGTTTCTATCGGTCAGGCATTCACTCGAACGATGATCTCCGAGCAATTGCCCATATTCCATGTTAACCTTGTTCCTAATGGGAGTTCGCCATTCTTATTCTGTGACTTGTGTAAGTGATCCTATAATGTCTGCCGAGATGCTTGGGTGCGATGGACTACACTTTGGGGCGACTTATCCCCTCTATCATTTACCATTAGGAGGGGCATACACTGCCTTATCAATAGCGCGTGGTGGCATCTGACCGATATGGCAGGAGAATGATGGTTATGTGAGGGATTTTTTGAGCATAGATAACATTAGTAAATCGTACCCTTGTGGCTTTTGCATGTTGAGCACGCAGCGTGTTATTTAGAGGTATTTCATTTCCGAGAATGGGCGCGCTCATGCGATACGAATCCCCTTTCCAGTCCTGCCCCCTCTTTGAGGGCGCCTCTTCGGTTCACCTAACACCCCATTCATCTGCCCGCGGGAGTACTGATGGGCTTTCTTTCTCACTCAGAAGTTCTGGCCCTTTTGAACTCGCTGATCGCAGGTGTAAGTATATCCAATTAGACGATCAACAAAGTTGGTTCGGATTGGAACTCCTATCAACGAGAGACCCCGCAATGAGGCTGCTTCAATCACCTGTTCCCCTTGCAGTTATGCGAGAGTGAGCTGAATTTGGAATCCTTACAAATGTTTTTTCTCACACTAGAAGCCGTGCGTGCGTTCAATGTCCCGCTGCGGTATAAAGCTCACAAGCTGGGTGTCCAAATCTTCATTGTGCCTGCATCATCTCCCGGCGGCCGTCACAATGGCAGCCGCTCTCACCAGCTTTATCCTCACCCAAAGCATCCATGCCGCACCTATCTCTCAACATCCCCCACCCAACAGTACAGCTTTCTCCATAAGTTACTCGGATGTGTGTAACGATCTGCGCAACTGTCGGACTATGTGGAGCATAGTGTACAGCTGCCTCCTTACGATATTCGCTTGTGTTTGGACAGCAATCCATCCAGATGTGCCTGAGCAATATTCGGGTTGGTCATTTGGGAAGGATTCTCGTAACAATTCAATGATTGTGACGTTGGTTTCGCCCGAGGTGGCTGTTGCGGCTGCATGGGCTGAGTTCTTCGAGGCGTGGATAATATCAAAAAAGTGTGCTGGAATTCAAGGTTTGCGCTTGAATGTACATAATTCAGTTGAAGAACTGACATTGATTTTTCCACAAGGATGGACATTCACCCATTCATATTTTGTTACTATGGGTGGCTTCTTCGACTCTTCCAAACAAGAGGTGGTAAAGCCAGATATAAATGGAGACCCTTCTACTCTCTTTGAGAAATACCCCGGCATAATCGACAAGTCGTGGGGTCATCGAAAGGTCACGGTAACAAGGGAGGGGGTCCTTGACAGAAGCAAAGGCGATTTTTTTTCAAAGTCCATTGTCGTCCTCCAGTTACTGTGGTTTGCCGTTCAGTATGTTGGACGGTGGGCAAGTCATCTACCCAGGTCACAACTGGAAGTGATGACTCTTGCTTATGCAGCACTTAGCATCCTTGTTTATGCTTTGTGGTGGCACAAACCACTGGACGTCCATTTCCCGATCCATGTAATGGAAGAGACTGAGCCTAATCCCTCAAATTCCGATGCCGTCACTGATCCAATATTGCCCAAAACGGAGAACGTGTCAAATCCAACTTCCCCCGCAGCGAAGATCATGGAAGCAAGTCCAATATGGATATTTTTAGTTACTGGTATCATTTTTGGTGGGATTCATTGCCTCGCATGGTCATATCCATTTCCGACGCGTGCGGAGAAACTTTTGTGGCGCATATCCGCGATAATTATTACTGTGGGCCCTGGCCCTTTCGCATGGGTCATTGAAAGACAGGGACAGGAAGGAAATGTACTCATGATCTTTGCAAATCTCTCCATCTTTCTTTATGCTATTGCTCGGATTATCCTGTTCACTCTCACATTCACGTCTTTGCGATCTCCACCCCCTAATTTGTACCGAACTACATCCTGGACATCTTTCATCCCCCACCTGGGATAACATAATCGTAGTCACATAGCATTGTCGCTCTGGCTCTGCATAAGATGTTGGAGGGCAGCGCATATACTGTACCCACACGACCAATTACCGGTCACGCATCACACGCACCTTCCGGTCCGGGTGTAAGTGGGCTGTTGTCACGCATCACACTGACGTTCCAGTTGAATGATCCTTGTCACACCATTTTTTTTTGGCACCTAAGTGGCTGTGTGAAATCGAATTAAATTCAATGAAAACAAAAGCCATCTGCAAGGAAGTAGTTTTTTTGGTGTAAAATGTATCAACATGAAAATTTGCCAGTTGGACATTTCCAGTGCCACTGTGGCTGGTGTCACACCAACCTTGCCACCTCTTCCGGTTGCTTGTCACACATCACAAAGAGAAGCTGGTTGACTATTTTGTGTCACACTCGGAACCTCAGCCAGTAATTGGTCATGCAGGTACAGTAGTGCTGAAAGGCACTAGCATGTGACCCCTTCCGGACGTTGCTGGAAGGACTGAGTTTACTTGGTTAGACCATGTGACTTGTTCCCACAAGTCACACTTTCTTCCTTATTTGGCTATTTTGGACTTATCCGTGAAGACCACAAACTATATGCATACATTTGAATTAGTTTCTTTCCCTCAGTTCTCATGCATGTGGTGAGACTGAGGTTAGTTATCTTTGTTTATTTCTTATATCTTATACTCATTGTATATCTACTATCTACGAGAGTGTAGGGTTGCTTACTTGTTTGGGGACAGTAATGTTCCATTCCCCCATTCACCTCAGGCCTCAGGTGTTCTGTCTAATAATACACTTTGGTGGGCTGTATATTGACAGTGTAGTGTCAGAGACAGGTGGGGTTCTGTCAGAGTCAGGGTTGGAGGTATTGGCAGAGGTCGGAGTGTGCACATGCAGAGGTGTGGGCAGAAATATGTGGTGCATCCGGAAGTGCCATTCAAGGTTAGCAGAGTGGGATCATGGCCTCAGCGACTCAAGGGGAGCACTGTGCCCTGAGCTTGACATCTGGGGAACATCACGAAAATCGGCAGGCAACTAGAGCAAAGTCCCCTGGTCCAGAGCACTCCAGAGGCTCCAGAGCACCTGGGAGCATCTGGACCATGTGGGAGCGCCAGTCCGATTTTCGTGATGAAGTGTAAGGGGTTGGTGTAGGTTCCAACCCCAATTCTCCTCAATCCTCAGGTCATCAATAAAGTTGAGCTGTATGGAGCTTTAATTATCAACGATGGGGAGGAAAAGGAGTTCTGTTCCTTTTCCCAAATTCCCATGTTATTGTATATACATTGTTTAAATTGAGACAAGTATACAATAAGATAATGAATAATGGGTGGGGTTACCACTCCTTGGAGGGAGATCCCTTATTTACAGATTGAACTTACAGCGAACTTCAAGCAAAACTTGCAGGCAGTGTGGGCCTGTTGGAGGAGTGTGAGCTCAGCAAGGACAGACTTGGAGGGGGGGATGCCCCCTTTACAGAGGTGGGGACTCAGACCAGACAGGGGGGTACTCTAGTTGATTTCAGACTGAGTGTGAGGTCTTAGGGTGGCTCAGCACACAAGGCCGTAAGTGATACAAGATAGTGTATTTTACGGTGGTGTGTAAGCAGTTACCCGGAGGTTCCCGCTTGCCCATGTGACTATGTGTATCTAATTTACATGTGACTCGGGGTTTGGGGCTATTGCCCTGACATTCTCCCCCCTTGCGTTGCATTTGCAACGCATACAAGGTTGATAGTAAATAAAACAGAGTTTTAATAGTTGATTTACATTGAGTTTGGAATTATCAATGAGTGTTTTTTGTTGTCACCACTTTAAAGTGGGCGATTTTGTACATGTTGGTGAAAGGAAGAGAGGGGGTTTAAGGAATGAATGAGTGTGGGCCGTTACTTTGAAGTGAACGGTGATACATTGGTATCGCAGGGAGAGAAGAAGAAAGAAAGGAAAAAAAAGTGGAGTTTGTCGAAAATGAATTTCGACCCAAAGGTTGTATGTCTTTGGTGTTCCTCACTTGTTCTGTGAGGGTTCATGTGTAAGTGGTGTTTACACACGAGCGGTGGTGGATGTGGGTCTTTTGACAGAGTGGAGATTTCCGCAATTGTTACTTGCAGTTCCTCGCATACAGTATTGTGTGTGGGGCCTCGAGTTTGGGGAAGGTGTTTTCACGGGCGCCTCGATGGTGTATTACCGTGTCACTTTCCCTTCTCTCAAGGGTGGATTCATTGCCCCGGAGGAGGGTTTTCCTCCGGGTTGTTCATCTGGACATCTGATTGCTGCATCGGATGTGATGATGTAGCCTGGGCTACATTGTCAGGCTGTGGGCTCGACAAAGTGGGTGCTCCCTGGGTGGGAGCGGGTTGTTGTGTTCCTGAGCTGCTTGGCTCAGGTGTAGAGTACGGTAGGTCTACCGTTCTTCCCGTGGGGAAGGATGGTCGTTGGGCTGGTTGTCCAGCACGGAGACTTGCGTCTCTTTCCCGGTATTTGGAAGCTTTCGCTTCCCGTTCCACAGTTCTTGCGGCACGTTCCTCAGGAGTCCTGAGTGGTTTGAACTGGGACTTTAAGTAGGCAGCTTTGCCTAGACTTTCCCAGGAGATTTTCCCCTTATTCTCTGGGGAATTATATTCCTACGTGAGTCTTGCAATACTCGGGAGTCCCAAGAAGTATTTCTTGGTTTCCTTCGCTTTTTCGCAAAGGGTTCTATGTACCTTGCCGCTTTTGAAGGCGGCTTCGGCCTGTTCGTACCAGTGTACAAATTCTTTCCCACTCACGCTTGTCCACCAAGCGTATGCGGCGTCATGCGCTGCTTCTGACCCTGCTATTCTCCTCATGGGGAAGTTGGGGTCGATTGTTATGTTGACTGGAGCTTTGACTTTGCCGAACTCGTTGAGTTCGGTGGTCTCGTATAGCATGTGGACACTTCCCTGCAGGGTAGCTTGCCCATAGGGTGCTGAGGTACTCAGCGGCCCACCACCTCTGGCAGTGGTCCCCATTTTAGGGTCTGCCATCGGTTGCCTACCGCTCTCCCTCTTCCCCTCGACATGGGTTTGCCCCTCTGAGGGCGGGCCCTTATGCAACCCGGACAGGGTCGCCTGCCCACAGGGTGGCAGGATAGTCGGTGCCCCACCCCTTGATGCGCTAGTCCCCATGTGGGGCCGCACCTCATGAGGCCCGGAACCGTATCCCCTCCCCCTGACCTGGGAGGCCCCCATCATGATGGGTTTGGCAGCGAGGTCTGCCAGTGCGCATGCCTCTCTGAGCTCGCGTTTCAGTAATTCGATCTCCCTTTTTTGGAGATCAACTTCTCTCTCTGTGTCTTTCAGAGAGTCAAAGATGCCCTCAGCATCTCTTCGTGCTCTGTTGTATTCGCGCCTCCAGTGGGCGCAATGGTCGCAGGTGTCTTCTAACGCCCTCAAGTTATCAGACCGTGCCCATTTGGACGGTCTGGACGAGGAGCCGCTGTCGCTCCCTCGTCTCCCTCCTATGAGGGACTTCATCTCTTTCAGCTCCTCATGGAGCTGACCTGTCTGAGCAGCTACCGCTGACGTGATGGCTGATTCCCAGCCTGCATTTGGCTGGGGTGTTGTTGGACCTGGGCCAAATTGGCTAATCCAGGGGTTGATCTGGCCAGGGAAGTTCCCTGGGGAGTATGCCTGGGGCTGCAGCAGCAAATGCTGCCCCTGGAATGGTGCTTGTTGCGCCATCGGTGCAGTTTGCACCGCGTATGGTTGGAAGCCTCTTTGGGGAGGCTGGGGGTATGCAGTGCCTGTTAGCAACGCAGATGGTTGTTGGTTTGCAGCACTCATTTGTGCTGCATGCGTCGTGTAATCCATGGCGCTTATCTGCGCCTGGTGTTGTTGTTGTTCCGGGGAGCCTTGCTCCCTGGGTTGTCGTATTTCGATATCCGGTGGTTTGTTTGGATCAAACTGAGGGTTGCCTCCCCCAGAGAACGACATTTCGTCGTTATGTTACTCGTGGTGGTGGGAGGGGGTTTCGTTCTTGCGTGCGTGGGATTCACCGCAGTTGTGTGTTCTTTTTGCACATGAGCCTGTGGTTCACGTGGTCTAGGTGAGTTACTCGCCTAGCCCATGTGATCTCTGGTACATGGTGTGGCTGTCCAGGCGAGTTACTTGCCCAGAACTTTCCCATGCTCTTGGCTGTGGGCCATCGTCCCTCAGCTTTACTTCCTCTGCCTCCGTTTTTGGGGGCGTAGTGATGCCGAGAGTTCCCTGTCTTCTTTGATAGGGAGTTTTTCTGGTTCCCTTACATTTTGTAAGGTGAGGTACTCGTCCAGGTGGATGAGGTTGTTGCAATTTCCTAGGGGTTCCCATGTGGTGTCCCCTAGTTCCCATTTAACCTTAAACCAGAGTTCGTTGTGAACCCACGCGTGGTTTAGGATTTTGCGAACTACTGCTTTGCGATCGGGGTCTTCCCCAAAATTGTAGAATATGTTTACTTCCCTATTTGGGAAGGTTTCCTGGTCATTTGGCTCGTGAGGTGCGAGCTGGGATACATGGAATCTTGGGTGGATTCCGCGTTGTTCAAGTTGTGGTGGCAACTTGAGGACGTAGTTTGACGTTTCTGGAAATGTTTCCAGAATTTCGTAAGGCCCTATGTATAAGGGCTTTAGTTTTCCTGCCCTGCCTTTGGGTAAGTTCAGCTTATCCGTGGATAAGTATGCGAGCTCGCCTTTTCTCAAAGGTGGGTCCGGGCGTCTTTTCTTATTTGCCTGGATTGTTTGGGCAGCGCGATTATGTATTATCGCATCATGTGCTGCCATGAGGTTTTCCTTCGCTTTTTGAGTGAAGTCATTTACTCCCGGGTAGTCCGAGAGTGGTGCTGTTAGGCACATCTTTGGCATATGGCCGTAGATTAATTCGAACGGGGCAAATCCTGTCGATGTGTTCGAGCTCGCATTGATCGCGAATTCCGCCATCGACAGTTTCGCTGCCCAGTCGCGTTGGTCTGGTCTAACCATTGCGTGTAGTATTTGTACTACTTTT